TTTCCAGTTCCTATCTGCACCAGTGTACATCCTGGTCTAGCCAGATTTGTAAGGTAGAATTAGGATCATGATAGTGTGGGGGGAAGCATTAAAGGACTAGAGGAAAGTTGTATGTTTCATTGCTGATACACTGCACCCTGACAGGCTTGTCTCCTCCTCACAACCCTTTTGTAAGGGGATGCCCAGTTGCCTATAGATGGGCTACCGTCTCCACTCTGCACTCCTTCACATTCACAATGATAAGATTTTTTGTTCTTTGATGCCTGATATCTGATCCTATCGACGCCTTGTGATCACACAGGCTGGTGCACTTCTTCCATGTGGACTTCATTGCTTCTCAACTAGAGGGTCACTTGTTTACTTTCAAGCCTTTAAGACCCCAGATGCTATATCTTTTGATAGCTGGGCACCATAAGTTTTCTTCACCACATTTGCTTATGTACCCTCTTTTTCTTCAGTGACTATGTCAGGAAGGTGAGCATCATGGAATACTAGATTAATAGAACAAAGTGTTCTTGCATTAAGGGAGTACTTGAGTAGAGGAACAATGTCAGTCTGCTACCTTAATACTAAACCTATAAATATATGCACATAGATTTATTTCCCTATCATTATATATAAATATATTTACATATGTACATGCCTGTATTTAGACCTCTATAAATGCCCTTTGTGGAGGCAGACTTATTAACAACTTTGACATGCAGATAACACAGCCTTGTTTGTTGAAAGTGAAGGGGTCTTGAAGCACTTGCTAATGAAGACCTAGGATTGCAGCCTTCAATATGGATTACATAATAAGTGGAGAAAAGGTTGAAATTCTCAAGGATTTTTGTCTTGCTTGGATCCATAATCAATGCCAATGAATCAGCAGTCAAGCGCTCAAAAGACACATTATATCAAGTAAATCTACCTATAAAAGGCCTCTTTAGAGCATTGAAAAACAGGAAGGTTAACTTGAGGACTAATGTGTACATGATCTAAGTCTTGGTATTTTCAATTGTCTCATATTCATATGAAAGTTTGACATTGACTACAGAAAACCAAAGATGAATGGATGCATTTAAATTGTGGTACTAGGAAGAATATTGAAAGTACCATGGGCTGCTAAAAGGATAAACCCTTCTGTATTGCAAGAAGTATGGCCAGGATGCTCCTTAGAGACAAGGATAGCAAGGCTTTCTCTTACATACCTTGGGCATGATGTCAAGAGAGACCAGTCCCTGGGGAAAGGACATCATGCTTGGTAAACTGAAAAGACCCCCCCCAAAAAAGGGAAGGCTCTCAAGGAGATGGATTGATACAGTGGCTGCAGCAATGGGCTTCACAAGAACAACTGTGAAGATGGTGCAGCACTGAGCAGCATTCTGTTCTGTTTTATATAGAGTAGCTATGAATCAGAACAGGCTTGATGGCACCTAATAGTATCTAATAACTTCTGACATACACTTTAATTTTTTTTCTGTCCTGTCTTGTGGATGACCTTTTCTATTTTCATGAATTATGGTCTTGATGTCCTCCTACACCTCATCAGGTCTTCTGTAATTAGGGTTCAGTGCATCAAATCTGTTCTTGAGATGATGTTAAAATTCATGTGGGATAGACTCGAGGCAGTATTTTGGCTCGCATGGACTTGGTTTAATTTTTTTCAGCTTTCACCTGAACTTACATATGATCCACAGACAGCCCCTGGCATGGTTTTAGTTGTTGATATCGAGCTTCTCCAGCTTCTCTGCCAACACATGCAGTCAATTTGATTCTGTGTATTCCATCTGGAGAAGCCCGTTTGTACAGTCACCTTTTTGTGTTGTTGAAAAAGGTATTTTCTATGAACAAATCTTTGGTTTTGAAAAATTATGTCATGTGATTTCCAGCTTCATTTCTATCACCAACACCATATTCTTCAGCTATTGTTCCTTCCTCTTTGTTTCCAGCTTTTGCATTCTAATTGCAAATAGTTATCAATGCATCTTGCTTGCATTTCTGATCAATTTTGACTGAAGATGTTGATATGCTTTTACAATTTCTTTGTTGTTGGTGCATACATTTGAATAATAGTTGTATTAATTGTATTTCCTTGAGGGTTGATAAATATAGTCCTATCACAGATAGCATTGTACTTCAAGACTGGTTTTGAAATATTCTTTTTGACAATGAATGCTACACCATTCTTCTTGATTGTGTCATTCAAAATATAAGTATATGATTTTCTGATTCGAAATGGTCAATACCAGTCAATTTCAGCTCACTAGTGCTCAATATATTGACCTTTATGTGTTCTATTTCATCTTTGATGACTTCCAATTTTCCTAGGTTCATACTTTGCACATTCCAATTTCTGATAATTAGCATATTTTTGCATCTGGTTCATCTTACCTTGAGTCGTGCCCCATCAACCATGAAAATCCTGAAGGCTCCACTCCCAAAGGCTTTACCCAACTCAAGTCACCATGGTCAACTCCACTCCAAGATTAAGTATTGCCCTGGATTTTATTTTCCATATACAGAAGTCCAAAGGGACATTTCTGCTCTGTTCTATAGGGACAGAATGAGTCAAAATTAACTCAGTAGTAGTGAATTCATTCATTCAGTCAATTCTAAACAAATTACTGAGTACTTTCTATCCCCCATGGAACCCTGGTGACCCTGTTAGTTAAGTATTGAACAGTTAACCACAAGATTGGTGCTTAAACCAATAAGCCACTTCTTAAGAGAAAGATGATGTTACTTCTTTAGGGTTTTGGCAGGGGATATTGAGGAGTAATAGGAAGCTAAAACTCATGGGATGAAGAAAATATTCTCTTTTTTTTTTTCCATCTTGAAAATGCTAGAGATATCATAAGGCTGGATCTTGGTGGTGGCTGAGGAGGTGATGAAGAGGCAGTAGTTGTAAGAATTATTTGGATAAAAGCCAAGGTCAAGCCCTTAGTCCCCCTTCAGATATGGTACTGAACTTACATCCGGTGCTCTATTCTCAGTCAAACAATAGACTCTTCTAGGGGAACAATCATTGTGAAGGTCATATTTTAGAACAATCAAACATTTGTTCGAGGGAAGGGGCAGCATCTACGTAAGTACAAAGTTCACCGGGTTAGGAAAAATGGAATAATGAAAGCAGGGAACGGGGGTGGGATGGAGAAGCGTGACAAGTGACGGTACAGTGAGGGGATAGCAATGGGTGAAGCGAAACAAAGTGTGTATGAATTGTTGCATCGAAAACGAATGATTCACTCTGTAAACCTTTATCCAATTCACAATAAATTTTTTTAAAGCTTTGAAATGCAATTGATTTATTGAAATAATATCTATAAATGATGAGTAATAAATATTTTTTTATGTTATGTAGATGCCACACTTTTCTCCTTGAAATTAAGAAGCTCAATGGTCAGATACGACACAAAACAGAAGTCTTTAGAAGAATGCAGCCTTTATTAAGGGAAGTGTCCTTGTTTTTCTTGTTTCAGTGGTTAGGTGCCATTGAGCCGACACCTACATGCATTGCAACTTTATGTACAACAGAATGAAATACTGCCCGATTCTGCACCAGCCACAAACACTGTGTGTACATGTCCCTCCTACCCAAAATGAAGCTCATTGCCATCAAGTTCATTCCAAGACCAGGAAGTCTACCCACTCTATTAACAGATGAGGAAACTATGGACTACAGATAGGCATTCTACACTCTACAAATATTCGGGGCATTATGTGCCAGGCACTTGATTGGTGCAGGAGATGTAAAAGTAAACAGAACATGGTACACATACTCACGAAGCTCAATGCCAAGGTAATGGGGGGTGAGTGTTCACTTAGTGAGACATTATCATATCATATAATAAACATTGTGAGCAAGGCATGATGCAAGGTGCTCCTCATGCAGGTTTGGGAAGAGCTCCCACAGAAGGTCCAACGTGAGCTGAGCTGGGAAGGGCGAGCAGAAGCCAGCTGGACACAAAGGCCGTGGTAACGGGGACTGCATATGACTGCTCAGGTGGAGGAAAGCATAGTGCACTTAGTTAACCCCAGGATTGTCAGAGGAGTCTTATCCTGGATTTAGGATAGGTGGTCTCCTGGCTCCCAGTTCAGTTAAAATCTACCTCTTTCCTTAAAAATCTACCTCTTGCTCTGGGTTTTCTGCCAAGTTTTTGAGGCTTCAGCACACATAGTATAGTAATACTCTTGCATAGAAAAACAAAGCACACGTGAGCTATTCTTATCTAGCTGTAAACATGAAGTTTTTTTTCAAACCCTTTCGATTAAAACATCTTCTTACAGGGATCATGACTTCAAGAGAATTTTGAAAAATCTTTATATCTCCCCCTTGAACATATCACTTGGGCTATGTCCATAAAGTTCATGTGACCAGAAGGAATTTTGAAAGAGTCTAAGAGAGCATGTGGGGATGGGGTTGGGTGGCAGTGGAGAAGTCATCCCCCTTGGTACAGGGGTAGCATGGTACCTTGGTACTGTCTGTAGCATGGTTAATCAAGCGTTAATGAGTCTAGACGCTAAAAGATGGAGGTATGAGGCCAACTAGAGGAATTGCAGGAGAAAGGGCTGGAGATCTGCGTTCAACAAAGGAATCATTCCCTAAGACTTTGCCCTCTGAGGAGTCTCCTCTGACACACCTGGGGTTGCCTTGAGTTCGAATTGCCTTGTCGGCAACATGTTCATTTTGTGTGTCTACCTGTAAAGAATTTTAACATAAAAACTGGAGAATTATGCTTTTATTATCATCATATGCCACCAGTTCTCAGCAATTCTGATAATGGAAAACCCCTTCGTAGTAAGACACCATGATCTTTCACTCCTTTTGAATATCATTGCTTTTACTATATACCTGCACACGCATATAAAACAAAATGCATTGGCTTTCCATACATCAAAAGTATCTATACCAACAATTTACTCACTACATACTAGTATAGGTTCACCAATTTCATTTTGTAGTAGAGTTGGAGTAGTCAAAATCATACATACAAGAACCCTAAAATATCCAACCCCCTAAAATTATTCTTATTTCTTTCCAGTGATGATCCACATCTCCTCAAGTCTCAGATCACTGTCCGGCTCAGATCACCATGGGTGCCCCTGATGCTGTTGCTTCTGTGAGCACCAGTCACGGGGAGCAGTCCTCACTCATCCTCTCTGGCTGGGCCGTCTGGCAGGTGCTTGGTGGCGTAAATATGGTCGGATCTTTAATTCCCAGCTGTATGTCGAAGAATCTCGTGGACAATATCACACTGTAGTTTTGGGTAAAGGTTTCCTGCACAGGGTAACAATCCTTGGCAGTATAAATGCCAATCCAGGTTTCATCTGTAAGGGGAAATAAAATGGGCTTTTTAATATCAAAAATGGACAATATTTGACAACTTTCTTGGGGTAGGAGTACCAGCAGCCAAACGAGAACAGCTTCATATTTGCATACAAACACAGGCTGATCTGGCACCCAGACTGTTGCCACTGGTCTGGTTGCTGCAACATTAGGCGATGATGTTGGGAGGAAAAAGTGACCAGTTAGCGAACTGCCTCTCATGTCACCGATCACAACCACGTCTAAGCCAATAAAAGCCAAAGTGGCTCAAGGAGATTTGGTGTTTCAAAGAGAATGCGAGTGTGCCACAGGTAGCAAAATGAATACACGTGGGGACTTATATGAGCTGTGTTGTCATTCTTCTCAGTTGCCATCAGCTCAAGCGCATGGCATACGTGTGCAGAGTAGAATCGCTACATAGGGATTTTGACGCTGTGACCTGTTGGAAGTAGGGCCCTAGGGCTTTCTTCCAGGGCACCTCTTGATGAGTTTGAAGTGCCAACCTTTCAACTAATAAATGTGGAGTCCTTAAGCATTTGTGCCACCCAGAGACCCAAGTGTGGTTTAAACAAGTTAATTAACTGCATATATTTCCCTTCCTTAAAGATGTTGAACCCTTTTTATTTTTCATCCCCAAAGACGTCCTTACATGCTCTTGCTGATTTCCGATTCGACCACTCTTGGACCATTATCTGCTCCTGGGGTCCGCCTATGGAATACTGATCTTCAAAGGTGGAGTTCTGCGGAATGTCAAGAGGATCCCAGGGGTTGGTCAAGGCAATCTTTGAGCATTGCTTGGTAGCTTGTTCAATCTGAAACATCACCCCATCCTTATAGAGGAGAATGTATTCAAATAATCTGAAAGAGAGGTGAAAAAAGAATCATGCTTTTACAGGACAATCATCAAAAAGGCCTTTTACAACACAAAGGCCAAAGACCTTTTACATTTTTAAAATTGTGATTTGGATGAAAGCTTACAGAGCAAATTGGTTTTTAATTCAAAAATTCATCCAATGTTGTTTTGATTGCAGTCACCAGAATGTATCTGTTCTCTTTGCATTTCTTCCCTGTAGTTACTCTGTCCCTTCATTGTCCGTTCCCACCCTTTCCTGTGTTCTGAGCTTTACCCCTGGGCAAATGCTTCCCCTTTGGTCACCTGTGATTGGTCATTCTCATGAGTGTACCTTCCTGGTGTTAATGTTTGTTTGTCTTATAGGATCTTTTATCATTTGGTTAAAATTTGAGCTATGGGGTTATTTCAGTTCCAGGTTTTAGGGTGACTAAGAACCATAGTGATGGGGTTCCACCAGCCTTTCTGAGACCAGTGAGCCTCACATGAGTTTATGATTGTGAGTTTTGTCCCACTTTATTCTCCCTCTCTGTCCAGGACCTCCCACTGTGGTCCTTTTCAGAGTGGTTGGGCTGTTAGTAGCGGGCTGCCATTTAGTTCATCTGGTCACAGGGTTGGCCAAAGGCCTTTGATAGAAATATTTTTTCAAATAAATGTTATTTTTCTAAGTTTATTTATTAGGTTGTCCAGGAGCTCTGGTAGCATGGAGGTGATGCATTGGACTGCTAACTGTGAGGTCGATGATGGGAAGACCCCAGGCCCTCTGCAGGAGAAAGACAGGGCTTTCTACTCCCATAAAGAGTTACCATCTCCCAAATTTACAGGGGCAGATCTACCCTGACCTACAGGGCTCCTGTCAGGAAGGATCACCTCGCTGGCAGTGAATTCAGTTTTTGCTTTTGTTAGGTGCTCCTTAGTTTATTTATAAACAAAGTGTACACGAACAAGTTCAATATGAAGAAACCAAAACGGAGAGGTCAAAATCTCATACTCACTCAGTATTTATCCAGTAGCTACTATATGTCAGACCTGGTGCTTAAGATATAAAAATGAGGACTATATGGCCAGGAGATTTCAGGCATTGGTGATCGGTCTGGCTAATGTCAGTGGAGGCTTGTGTGTTGTGATGATGCTGAACACTTTTCAGCAGAACTTCTGGACTCAGATGGACTAGGAAGAAAGGCCTCGTGGTCTTATTCTGAACATCACCCAATAAAAACCTGTGGATCACAACACCTGAGCCCAGCATCATGAGTCTAGGATAAACAAGAAGCCCACTGAGGACTGGACAGGACTGGGCACCATACCACATTGCCACTACTGTCTTATCAATCATAAAGGGTTTGGGTGAGAACCAGCTCCTCCCCTACAGAGGCTGCAACTATCAAAGATAAAAGGCTAAGGGATTGGGAGCAAATGGCTTTGCTTAGCTGAGTTTGTCTGTAAACTCTTACATTCGTTTGGTGATCACATGTGGACCCTACTTACAGAATGAAACTAAGACTAAGAGGAAGCTGAGCCCAGGAGTATGCACCAGCGAGTCAACACGGTAACTTTCAATGGGAGTAGAAGCCCTCCCTTGGAGCAGCTGGTGGTTTCCAACTGCTGATCCAAGCCTCAAGTGGCGTAGTGGCTCAAGCATTCAGCTGCCAGGCTGCTATGCAAAAAGGCAGCAGTTCAAAACCACCAGCCACTCCATGGATGAAAGATGAGGCTTTCTACTCTGGTAGAGTTAGTCTTAGAACCTACAAGAACTGTGTCTTACAGGGTCACCATAAATCAGAATTGACTCAATGGCATGGAATTTATGGTCACAATAGTACTTGTAAAATTTTATGGGAAATATAAGCATGATCGGATTTTCTATAGTGAGATATAGTCTCCTTACTTGAAAAATAAGTTGAGTTGGATTGAAAGCATAACATTCAAGTGAGAGTGAATAAAAAAGAAGAAGAAAAAAAGTAAGTGTGCATCTTATGAGAGAGATAATGCTCCAAATCAGAGCCAACCGCTTGCATTATACAGGTATGGCTCACAGAAGTAGTTTGGGGCTGGATTGCTACTGTTTTCTTGCCTGCAGTTGGTGAAAACATTTGCAACGACAGAAACATGAACGTGAACTTTCAGAACCGAAGCCATTTGTAAATACCTTTTGAATGGAATTTTTATCCATGTCATTATGGAATCTTTGTCAGTGCACGCATCCTGCTCTGTGATTCTTTCAAGATAGGGGGTCATCCACGCAACCTCTAGAGTGCATCACCATGGAGATCATGGTCTTCGTCCTTTTCTCCAGCACCCACAATATCATCATTAGCATCATCTGATGCTTTCCCCAATTCTATCTAGGGCTTAGGCTAGATGATCCGTCCCAGTTTTTGCCGAAACTCTAGTTCTCAGCTTGGCAAACTGTAATGATGCTACTTTCGAGGCAGCCACACACAGCTGCACTCCCAAACCCACCGCGCCACAGTCATGGGCACTGGAAGCTACGTTTATAGTAATGACCTTGTCATCCTCCCAGAACTTACTGGACTAGAGGTGGACATCTGACCCAGTGTAAGACAATCAGATTCTCTTCTATGGGAGTTGTAATTGGGCAGGAAAGAAATGTGCAATTTTGAAGGAAGGCCGACTAGTCAGTCTCTTCCTGGGTTGGAGACAATAGGAAACACTGCGGTCTTAAGTGGTTATTTTACAAGTAAAAGGAGTAAGAGAAAACAGGGAAGAGAGAAGCGAAAACAAGAGCCAGCTATGAGTCCAACAGTTATTCACTTCCTGGATTCATTTGTTTTCTGAAGCCTGGTGCCTGGAGGTCCCTACTTCTACATAGATAAATCAATCAATCAGTTTCTATTGATTCAATTCCAAGTCATGTCAACCCCAGGTGCTTGAGACAACTGTGTTTCTGAGGATTTCCAGTGACTGATTTTGTTGGAAATAGATGCCAGGCCTTTCTTTGGAGACATGTCTGGGTAGCATTTCTGATTAACCATCTGCACCACCCCAATACTCTATGCAGTTATTAGTACCTTGTTGCTGCTGTCTCCTGTCCGACGAGCCCTGGTAGTGATGCTGGGTAAGCATTGAACTGTTAACCATAAAGTTCAAATCCACTAGCTCCTTCATGGAAGGAAGTTGAGGCCACCTGCTTCGTTAAAGGCTGATTTAGGGTTACTATGAGACAGTATGGCTAGATGACATTGGTTTGGAGGTGTTTGATTGGGTGTGCTTTCGAGTTGATTCTGATACACGGTAACTGAATTTGATAAGAGTAGAACTTTCCCACTGGGTTTCCTAAGCTGTAATCTTTACTGGAGCATACTGCAGCAAAGCCACAAAGCCTCTGAGGAGCTCCATAAATAGATGGCAGACTAGGAGGGACAGTTCCCAGAACCCCCCAGGACCGGTGGGGAGATAGTCATAAAGATCGGCAGACAGACTTGGAATTATGTATGCTTTTTCAGGGTTTTTTGGGTTATCCTTTTTTCTCTCTTTTTATTCAGTCTTTTTTGGTTTTGTCTTTGTTATTGTGAGTTTGCCTACCTATGTAAGATAGGCATGGGAAGCAAGCCTGAGGAGAAATCAATGGGTTGGCAAACAACTAGGGGATTAAAATCAACAACAAGGAGGTTGTAGAGATCCTGGGGTTGTTGGAGCAACAGCAATCTGGCTGAGAGGAATTACTAAGAGGCAGAAGAAGGGGGAGCATGATGGTGGGACAGGAGGAAGGTAAAAGGAAGCAGGAAAGATATAGGAAGCAAAACTATGAATAGAGGTATAAACAGAGGTGTGCACTTATGTAAATATATTAATTCATAAAAATAGAGGTATTTGTCTATGTACATATATTTATATGGCAGTACATTGAGGAAATAAATGGACTTTGGGTCTCTGCTCAAGCCTTCTGTTAACAAGAGATTACTTTGTTCTAACAACCTGGTATTCTGTGATGCTCACCCTCCCAACACAATCACTGAAGACAAAATGGGTGCATAAGCAAATGCAGTGAAGAAAGCTGATGGTGTCAAGCTATCAAAAGGTATAGTGTCTGGGGTCTTAAAGACTTGAAGTTAAACAGGCAGCTATCTAGCAGAGAAGCAACAAGCCCACATGGAGGAAGCATACCAGGTGTTGACGGAATCAGGTAGCAGGCACCATAAGACCCAAAACAAAACAAAACAAAACAAAAACATATTGTTGAGAGTGAGAGAGGTTGGAGCAGAGACCCAAAACCCATCTGTAGATAATATGATATCCCCTCACAGAAGAGTCACAAGGAAGGGATGAGTCAACCAGGGTGCAATGTAGCACCAAGGAAACACACAATATTCCTCTGGTTCTTTGAGCCCCCCACCCCCATCCCCAATCAAGATCCCAGTCCTGCCTTCAGTGCTGGCTAGACCGGGAGCATGTGCACTAGCACAGATACGAGCTCAGGACACATGGAATCCAGGTCAGATAGCCCCTCAGGCACAGAAATGGGTGTATCGATATCTGGAGGGTAGGGGAAGGTGGCCGGAGGAGGAGAGGAAAGGGGAACTAATTGCAATGATCCCCACATAACATCCTCCTGCCCCCCTTCCCAAGGAGGACTAACAACAGAAATGTGGGTGAAGGGAGACAGTGGTTAGTGTAAGATGTGAAAATAATATAGCAATAATTTATACTTTATCAAGGGGTCACGAGGAGCAGGGGGAGAGGAGCTGATAGCAAGGGCTCAAATAAAAGTAAATGTTTAGAAAATGATGAGGGCCACATATGTATAAATATGCTTGATACAATTGATGTATGGATTGTTATAAAAGCTGTAAGAGCCCCCAATAAAATGATCTTTAAAAAAACCCAAAACTTGTGCCACCAATGCTTGTATAATTCTTATAGAATTCCTAACAAAGCACACCTATTTTTGCTTTTGCTTTTGTGGTACACATGATGAGAATTGTTCCTAATACTGTTGAGAATCCCACCGCTCTTCCTGGCATCCTGGGAACTGGCTGGACATGCA